AAAAAAAAAAAAAAAAAAAAAAAAAGTTATTATAATTGCAGTCCATATGTCCTAAAAGTTAAGATTTACCAGATTTTTTTCATTCAAACTACTAAATGAAAACTACAGTATCCAAGATAAAAAAAAAAACCAAACTAAAAAACATGGTGGATAAGATTGGAAGGTTAGATGTTGCAGAAAGGTAGTAAACTTGAAGGCACAACATTATATACTAGCTAATATGAAACAGAAGAGAAAATATTATTTTATAAAGAGCATCAGTGAGGTGTGTGGCATCAAGCCACCTTATCTATGTAAAAAATTGGACCACCTGAAAGTGAGCAGAAAGACCAGAAAAATAAATGTTGCATGTTGTCAGTCAGAGCTGAAAGAAACAAGACTGGATTAATACAGCCAGAAGACTCACAAGCTCCGTCCTGGCTCTAAGTGAGTCCTGAGCCACCAAGCCACCCAGCCACCAAGCCACCAAGCCACTGAGCCACCAAAACGTCTCACTTTTATTGAGGGCTAAAAGCAAGCTAATGAATGTGCATAACTAATTTTGTGAATACAAACTACAAAATTGTAGTTGTCAATCTGTGTTGCCTTCTGGCATTCAGCAAACTCTGAGTTCACACATTGCTAGCTGATAACATCCCAGGTGAAGGATCAAAGGACAGACAGGGCACCTCTGGAAATCCTGTTATCAGTGGCTTTGTATCCCAGCTTGCTGGAATTTACAAGAGACAACAACTTTCCTTGGGCTGGTTATTGCTCTTTGCTCCCTTGGGACATCAGGGTTCTGTCTCATATTGTGGAGGAGCACCTGGGTGACTCCCTTGAAAGAAGAGCAGTCTTCTCCATTTTGGCTGTGCCTGACCCTATTTCCATGTATTGATAGGTACAGAGCTGGCTAGGACTTTTCCTTATCCCTCCAATTGGCTTTAAGCTGTGCATATTGGTCTAGGGGAGCTGCTGGTGGTAGTCTTTGAAGGTGGCATGGGTGTTTCCCTGATAGCCTACAACTGCTGCTCTTTAATAGGCGCTGTGTCAGCACAGGATGAACAGCCAGTGCTTCACAGTGCTGGCTGGGATCCAGTCTCGATATATTATAGAAAAAAAGAAGAAAAAAGCACCTTATTATTGCAAACCCCTTAGGAACACTGAAGACTTCAACAAAAACTGTAATTGGAGTTGGGTGTGTTGTTCACACATCTGTAATCCTAGCACTTAGGAGGCTGAAGCAGGAGGATCACTGTGAGCCTGGGGCCAGCCTGGAGTACATGGTGAGTTCAAGGCCAGCTTGAATTATATAGCAAGATTGTCTGGAAGAAAAAAAACCAAACATACCCCCCTCCACACTCCTCCCCTCCATACACACTTAAATGGCCAGGAGAGCTTGGAGTGAAATATTTGAAGCTCTGAAACAGTTCAACTTCTAGGGCTGGGGAGATAGCTTGGCAGTCTAAGTGCCTGCCTGGCAAGAGCAGGACCCAGATCCAATCCCCAGTACCACATGTCATGCCAGCCTGAAACGAAACATGGTGGCACACACCTATAATCCCAGTGCTAGGGAAGCTGAGACAAGAGGATCTCTAGGAGTCTGAGCTGCATAGGGAGGCCCTATATCAAATAAATAAATAAATTAATTTAAAAAATACAACTTCTAGCCCAGAATCATATATCCTGCAAATATATGTATCAAAACTGATGGCAGTATACTCACCTGGAAGGGGAGACACCATGATCACAAAGGTGGTTTTCCCAGGGCGAGTCTTATTTATTGCACTCTGGATGTGTGACCCCTGCGATTTCCCCAAATGCGGGAAACTTGACTGCAGAATTTATGGTAGTGGGGGAATGCATTCGCGCTTTCCCCTGTAATATGGTTTAATGTGGGATTCATGATACCTTAGACAAAAAAACAACAACAACAACAACAAAAACAAAACTGATGGCAGAAATGACATTCCACAGCAAAGAGCACTTTAAGAGATTCACTTGTTATGGGTGGGCTTGGGGTCTGAGATTGTATTTTGCTCCTTCTCATTGTCATTTTGTGTAGCACTGTCTTCTGACCTTTGTTGTAGCGCTTTGTTGCAGTTATAACCTTAGCACGTACTGAAGTTCAGGTGCAGATATACAAAGTTTGGATTTATCCAGCTGTGCCTGGCTTGGGTCTGGCTGCTGTGCTCAGCTCCTTCCTGCTGCCACCCTTGGGAGTGATTCTGTTGTGCCCTTCTGGCAAGATGTTCTGCTCCTGGACTAGCTGGGTGGTTCTGTCCCCTACACTCTCTGCAGGGATTGCAGCTTCAGGGTTTCACCTCAGGCCTGTATGCCAGGCCTGAGCTCAGTCTGGAGGGGACAAGATGGAGTAGGGGGGAGAGGAAGCTCTCCCACATACTCAACAGGCCTGGCCTAGGACAGGATCTGGGGGTCCCCAGAACGCGGCAGAAATTTTCACTGGGCGGGCAGGGTGGTGGGGTGCTGTGGAGTGTTGGGGGGTCCCAAGGGGGTGAAAGAGGGTCTCACTCACGCTGTGCCTGGGCTCGGACCGGTAGGTCCTGTGTCATCGCAGGGTAACCGGAAGTTCTCCCACACACTCACCGGGGCCTGGGCTAGGACTGGCACTTTAAGAGATTCAAGAACACTATACCATAGCCCCAAAACACTCAAGGATAATCTAGGGACAATGGTGTCAATAAAGTTTAAAAAAAAAATCAGATGGTGGGGCTGGCGAGATGGCTCAGTGGTCTAAAGCACCTACATGGAACAAGCTTGGCAAAGCACAGGGACCACAGTTCGATCCCCCAGCACCACATGCCAGCCAGCCCCGCCCCCTGGTGGGCTGAGCTGGCCACACACACACACACACAATAAATAAATAAAAATTAAAAAAAAAAATCAGATGGAATGACTACATCATGCAAGATGCACAGTTAAACAAAAAGGGAAATATCAAGGATTTACAGGAAGGGGGTCAATACTTTTTAGTAATTATTTTCAATGTAAATGGTCTCAGATCCCTAATTAAAAGACACATATTGGTGAAACCAGAACGTAATAGTATGTTATATTCTAGAAGCTCACCTAATCCAAAAGAAATTAATAGACTAAAAATAAAAGGATAGAAGACAATATTCTATGCTTTGGGACTCCTTATTCTCAGACAAAGTAAGTTTCAAGCTAAAAAAGACCCAAAGAGGTAAAGAAGGTCACTACATATTAGGTAAAGTAAGAATTCAATGGGAAAAGACGATAGGGGGGCAGGGAGATGGCTCAGTGGACTAAGTGCTTGCCTGGCAAGTGCAAGGTCCTGAGTTCGATCCTGATACCCTTTCCCCCGCCAAACTTGTAAACATATTTGGGCTGAATATGGATGTGCTCAATTTCATACAAAACGTACCAGATAAATAAGCATTAACACAATCATAATTGGTGACCTCAAAAAAAATAATTGGTGGGCTGGTGAGATGGCTCACTGGTGTAAAGCACCTACTTAGAACAAGCTTAGCAAAGCACAGGGACTGTGGTTCAATCCCCCAGCACCACATGCCAGCCAGCCCCGCCCCCTGGTGGGCTGAGCTGGCCACACACACACACACACACACACACACAAATAAATAAATAAAATTAAAAAAATAATTGATGACCTCAATATTCCACTTTCACAAGTAGATCAACTAGACAAAAAAAAAAATCTACAAAAAATGTAAGAGATGAACCACACATTCAAACAAATAATAGATATGTACAGAGAGTTTTATCTTACTACATCAAAACACATTCTTCTCAGAAGCACATGGAACTTTTTGCAAAACTGATCATATTCATTTACATCGTCCTGCTGGAGTATGCCAACAAGATCAGAGGAAAGATGCCCATGCCACCCACCGGCCCTGGCAGCACCCTCTGAGGTGGCTTGGCAATGAGGGTGGGGTTAGAGGGAATGAAAAGTGGTTTAAACAACAACAAAAAGATCATATAAATATATTTTCCAGTCCTAATCAAAATACCAACAGTATTCCTCACAGAACTACAAAAAAATTCTAAAATTTATGTGGGAGGAAAAGTGATCCTGAATAGCAAAAACAATACTGTGTAACCCGAGCAAAACAGAAAGTATTACAATCATGGATTTCAAGTTATGCTGCAAAGCTACAGTAAAAAAACCCATCATGGCAGTGGCATAGAGACAAGGGGATCAGTGGACTAGAACTGAGGTTGCAGACACAACCCTATGTACACTCAGCCATTTGATCTTTGACAAAGAGATTCAAAACGTGTTGGAAAAAAAAACCAAAAACCAAAAAACAAAACGTGTTGGAGAAGAGATAACCATTTTAGACAATGGTTCTGGGTAAACTGGCTATATGCACGCAGAATACAGAAGCTAGGCCTGTGTCTCAGTTTATTACTAAACTAAAATCAAAATTGATCAAAAGCGTGAATGTTAAACACTTAATCTGTTGTAGATAAAATAGATAAAATTCTTGAAGACAAGCATAGACAAAGACTTCGGAACAGAACCTTACTTACACAAGCAATAGCATCAAGTATCAATAAGTAAATAACATCAAGAATCTTAAATTCAAAAGATTTTTTTCATAGCAGAAGAAACAACCAAGAGTGAAGCAATAACTTACCAAGTAGAAAAAAACTTTTTTACAGTTGGATGGCATTCTAATATTTGGAAAATATAATGTACTAGAACATTTGGTCCCTCCAAAATACACACACACACACACACACACACACACACACACACAATACACAAAAAGAGCAATTGAAGTAGACACTTTGCAGGAGAAGTAGTACAAATGGCCAATAAATATGAAAAAATGTTGAACATTGCCTGAAGTTAGAGAAGTATAAATTAAAGTATTTCTGAGATTCCATTTTAGTCCAGAAAGAATAA